TCCACCTCACGCCATAACCAACTAAGGTGTCTCTTCACATTATTATTATGTTGTCGTTATTATTGCTAACATATATTTATACAAGAGCAATAATGTATTGCAATATTCTATATATATATATTATTTTGTGTCCACCAAGGGCTGCAGGTGATCTGCAGTTTCACCTTCTTCCAAGTTGGAGACATTTTCTGTTTCACACACTTTTCTTAGCTGAGTGATGACAAACCTGAATATACATTATACATCTCTCTATTTTATTTAATATGTGTTTGTGTAAACTATTTACTTTATTTACTATTCACACTACAGTTTCTTCCAGTTTCAAAATATTATAGATTCAAACCTCCAATACATATGGTGTAAGCTAAATTATATTTATCTAAAACTCCTCTCTGTCTATACTAGGGATGGGTATCGTTTAGGTTTTATCCGATACCAATACCAAACTGGTACTTTTGAAATATATGCATATTATATATTGTTCTTTCTTTGTGATTGTTTATGTTGAAGTTGTTTATTGCTGGCTTTTAGTTTGTTTTTGTCTGTTTGGGAGCTGACACAGTTTCTATGGAGATGGGTTTTTGGCAGGGTAGCATCAGGAGAGAAGCTCCGGAGAGGCATGTTCCATGTTAAAAGCTAAAATATAACAAAAGAAATTATGCTAAACAAAACAAAACCTTTCAATTGCCCAACCCTATCTGTCCCCTCAACGGGTTGTATGTTTTCAATGTTTCCTTATTATATTTGTCATAAAAATAAATCAAACAAATAAATCAAGCTGTGTGACAGCACCTTGCGTTTACGCCAAACTGTGAACTGTCCTAAATCTATGTCTGTGAAGGTTCTCAGTCATCCAGGTCATCGTAGTCAAAGGAGCTTGCAAAGAAAAGCGTCTGGACTTCTTAAAGTTACTTGAAGACGTTTCACCTCTCATCCGAGAGGCTTCTTCAGTTCTAAGGAAGTCCAGACGCTTTTCTTTGCAAGCTCCTTTGACTGTCCTAAATCTACTTCCTTCACCCCCTTTTCAACTGGAATCCCAGTTAAATTTTCTTTCAATCCCAGTTTAAAACTATTCCTGACTTCCCTCAGTGCACACTGTAAACTCCAAAAAGATAAAATGAGCTTTTCTGGTAAAAGGTCCTAGATTATTTTGTCAACCTTTGGAAACATCCTCTATAGAGTTAACCCGTTTCATCTTTAAAACTTAGGCCTGGTTTCTTCGCCCCCTTTAACGGGTAGCGCATATCCAGCCTGAACACTGTGTTTGGGCAATTTACATAACATAAAAATCCTGCAACTATTCCTAAAGTCCCTCTCATTACTTTTATGCTCCCATTATAACCTGTGTCTAACAAGCTTTTGATCTTCTTTGCAATGTCAACAACTAGGTGTCTTTGTGCTCTGTTCTTCTCCTTTCTCTGGTTCGTTCCATTCAGTCTCGGGCTTCCAGGATTCTCGCGGGTTAGGGTCACTCACTAATCTACTGTGTTCATCTAATGTTCCTTTAATCATTCAAAGTTGTTTCACCATATGATGTTATGGGCTCTAGTCTTTATATTAACTTTACTTAATCTTTATTTACTTAATCTTAATGCTCTTTATGTGTGTGCGCAACACTTTTAATTTTATTAAACACACCCAGGGTAAGATATAAACCATCACCATCTGAGCATAAAACAGACAGGGATCTTCTCCGAACAGCTCAATTCAGAATGGTTTCCCTCATCAGGGTTACGCCCCTTCATGCGTCACAAATGAACATAATATGCATCAGTTACAGTAAATGGTCAATCTTAAACCCCTAAAATTAGACAGAGAGGTTCCTCTTTCTATCACACCTTCCATAAAAGGCAATAAGTTTCAAGCCTACATGGTCCCTGTGGCGGATGCTCTTCTTTAACCCTTTAAAACCGGTCAGAGTGGGCATGCTCCGTTTTGTGTAACTATTTTTAAATCCCGGTAGCTCTGCAACCACGTGAGCTAGCGCAATAATTTTTTTTGCATATGAAACCGGAGGAGTTGTACTTACATCTTATGCCATCAGCTTGTCCTCGGTCACAGTTTCCTTCCACATATAGCTTTGCAAAAACTGCATAAAAAGCACTTGCAGCAACAAAAACATAATATTCCAGAAACACGCTTTGCCGATCCGATCAGCTGTTCATAACACTTCCTACGTCCATCAGCACGAATTATCGCATGTCCGCCATGACCTGCCCGAAACCAGAAGTGACGTCATTTTCGCGGAAATGTAGTTTTTTACCATCAAGGCCTCATGAGCCTATACTGGTGTTTTTAAAATTTATGTTTGACTTTATGACTTTCTGTGTCGTTTCTGGGATGCTTAGGACTCATATTGCACTGCTGGAAATAGTTTATTTTGATGCATATGCTGCTTTTTTGCAAATTTGCAGTATAATATTTATTTTCATTTTTCCTGCAGTGTATAGAAATTGGTGTATTTCAAAAATAAAACTATGAAGACACTCAAAAATAAATTTCCTGTGGTGGGAAACTATTTTGTGCAACTTTTTTTGTATTTACAGTTCGTTAATTTCTCTAACTAGAAATATATGTTAAAAAAAAAAAAGATTTTCAATTTTTTTGTAGTTTATTGCACTTTTTTGCAATTTATGTAATTACTACGCACATAATGCAGACATTTTATTAAAATTTAGGCTTTAATGGTTGTATTGATGTATATCAACTTGAAATGCTCCCAAAAATGGCTCTACAACATGTAAAAATATAATATAAGCTCTGGCGGACTTGGTTCTATGGTAGGTCTTAAAGGGTTAATAGTCTTTTATTTAATCATGTCTTAATTTTCCTGTTTTTATTATGAAGCACTTTGGTGTAACGCTGGTCTTTTAAATGTGCTATACAAATAAAGTTGTATTGTGTTGTATAACGAGTCAGTGTGTGTAGGGTGGGTGTGTGTCACTTTCCTGTTCTGGTGTCTTCATTAAACCATGGCCTGAAGCGTACCACAGGGTCCTGCTCTCCTCCTTTCAGTCTGCTTGTATCCAGCCCTGCTGCTGCTCACAGCTCCCCTCATTCTCTAATCAGTGCCATCCATTATATGGTCACTTCAAAGCTGTATTTTGCCACAGCACAGGCTGGGTTTGGTTCCAATTATGTTAATCTATCATTTTGCTCCGGCAGCTGTGCTCGTGGAGGAAGATTGATCCAGGTCTGGAGTCACCTGAAACTTCTAGACTAAGACATTATTTAATATAATGTCCATCCATACTCATTAATAATTCCATTCTCTGTCTCCTCCATCCATATTTCGACACATCTTTTCCATCATTCATCCTAGACATATCAGCTGATTTCCAGCTGCACGCACACACACACTCACTCCCTGTTATGCACACCCACTCACACACCCATACACCAACACATTCCTCGCTCTGCTTCTCTACAGTTTTCTCCTTTATCTACCTCAGATTTAACTCCGACATATTCCACACCACTACTCACTTTTCACTCATTTTACCACAGAGAACTTTACCCGAAAGCCAGACGCCGACAAAATTTAACATAAAAATATGTGTAACATAGCGAACAGATTATTTTAGAATTTTTAATATGCACGCTTCGATTTAACAGGTGTCACTGACCTTTTATTCTGTTGGACAGGTCCTCTGTTCACCTTGTCTCACGATCTCACCACAGCCAAATCTGCCTTCCTCAGCACACCAAAGATCTGGGTCATGGCACCAAATTGTTGCAACACAATTCTTGTCTGTCTCTCCTTTCTGCCCACCCCTTCGCACGCTATGTTCGCCTTGCTTTGGTTTACCAACTCCTTATCCCACTAACGGCAGCTTTCTGTCACCTCTGCTTCTCACATACACCTCTGACCTATTCTCCCAATTCTATGTGTGTGCTCCATGTGTGAATGTTTAGTAGCTTGACCTATAACCTACTTAAGTAAATAATGGATATACTGTTTTACTATGGTTAATACAACTAAATCCCTAATACTATGATAATATATTCTGACACTGGACAGGATTTCTAGGCACAGCCAAGTGGCGGAGGGCTTTCATTTAGGTGGCCTCAGATTCTCATCTCTGCTTTTCGCGGATGATGTGGTTCTGTTGGCTTCATCGGTTGATGGCCTCCAGCTCGCACTGGAACAGTTCGCAGCCAAGTGTGAAGCAGTGGGAATCAGGATCAGCATCTCCAAATCTGAGGCCATAGTTCCCAGCCGGAAAAGGGTAGAGTGCCCATTCCAGGTCGGGGATGAGTTCCTGCCCCAAGTGAAGGACTTAAGTATCTCGGGGTCTTGTTCACGAGTGACGAGAGAAGGGAGCCGGAGATCGACAGACAGATTGGTGCAAATTGGCCGCAGTGATGCATACGCTGTACCAGTCTGTCGTGGTGAAGAGAGTGCTAAGCATAAAAGTGAAGCTCTCAATTTACTCATTGATCTAGATCCCCCACAATCCCTACCCTAACCTTGGTCACGAGCTCTGGGTAGTCCCTTAGAGATAGGGTGAGAAGTTCAGCCATCCAGGAGGGGCTCAGAGTAGCGCCTCCATAATAAAGGGAGCCATTTGAGGTGGTTCTGGCATCTGACAAGGATGCCTCCTAGGTGAGGTTGGGCATTTCCCACCGAGAGACAGCCCGGAGGCAGACCCAGGACATGCTGGAGAGATTATATCTCTCTGCTGGCCTGGGAACATCTTGGTATTCCCCCGGACAAGCTAAAGGAGATGGCTAGGGAGAGGGAGGTCTGGGCTTCTCTGCTTAGGCTGCCCCCACGACCTGGCCCCGGATAAGAGGAAGAAGATGGGTGGATGAATTTGGTCTGCACAACCAGTTCAAAGAGAGATGTGAATGTGTTTTAATATTTGATCTTAACTATTTACATTACAAATACCATAAATTATATGCAGGCAAAAAATATAATCTGAAATTTACACTAAACATTTTCAAATAATGAAATCCTAACTAAAATCATAAAACTATTCTGTGTGTTTGAACAGACGCATTGCTTAGGAGTCGGTCCAGCAGTGATCATGAAGTTACAGCTATGATGAAGGCTCAGTTTATGACTTTGTGGGATGGACTCGAAACAGATCACCAGTGCCAGGTATGCACAGATTGGAATTGCTTGGGTACGATATAGAGTCTCAAGAGATTCACTGACCTGTGAATGTATTATTGAGAGGAATTTGTCTCAAAAGGGTTGCAAATGTGTACAATGTGATCCACAAGCCTTAATCGATTTACAAATGTGTGCAGTGATTTGTGTGTAACATCTGAGGACTCTTGAGCACATGTTTCAATCCACATGCAAATACAAAGCAATCTGACCACATGTAAAACTATTTTACATATGCCTACCTGAATAAAAACAGATCATCATCACTGGAACTTGGAAAGCAGCTTACATATCTGGATCTGTGCAAAGCTGGCAGCATTAAATTTGTTTCAAAACCCTGCATGGGCATGCAACATGATCTGTGCATATCAGGTGGTTCTTCCACACGTACAGTATTGAACGATTTGTGAGTGATCAAGAGAGATGGTGCGTTTAGTTTTAGACATTTTTGTACATCTACAACTAATTCAGTCCTGATTCAAAAGGTCCTGATTTGGGCCAATCGAGTCAATTCAATTTTGACTCAGTCAAAATTATTATAATTATGATTATTTATCTTGGATATGTACTCTCAAATAACCCTCTAAACTTTGTAAATTAAAAATATTTAATTCCAAATTATTTGAGTATTTTATCTGCAATTACAAACTCGGTGTAAACTATCTAGGTATAAAAAAAAAGCAGACACTTGTGAGATGTCATCAGATGTGTAAGCATCACAGTAGATGCCTTTGTGTCATGTAACTGAAAATAAAACAAAAAATTATGAAGGAGATTTTACTGGTCTGGTCTTTTATAGCAGATCACCCCTTTTAAAATATTCTGGATTTAATTTGTAAAAGCTGACATTAGGGTTCCTTGTTGGAGGTCATTTTTGAAAAAACAAAACAAACGAAAACATCGTCTGACAGCGCTGTACACAACGGTAGACTGGGGTATATTAAGCAAGCTTATAATGCAGAAAACAGAATTTTTTGATGGGAAACTGGTCTCTGAGTACACCGAGTGAGGGGGAGATATGCAGGAAGTGTGATTTTATCATATTGGAATCATACTGCTTGGTGGTTGCTAAAATTGTTTTGTAAGCTTTAAGATGACATTCTAGCAGATCACATTATTTAAATTAAAATCAATTACAATTGGGCATCTATTTGTTTTCTTCTATTTTAAATCCATCCCTATTTGCAACCCTTTTGAGACAAATTTCTCTCCACAATGTATGCACTATATGTGAGTCCTTAACATAAACAATCAGCTGATCTATATACTGTTCTTAGTATTCAGATGTTTGCCCCTAAAATTTTCAGTCTCTGTATGTAAAGCTAATTAAAGGCTTACTTTGTCAGGTGATCATTATGGGGGCCACTAATCGTCCTGAGGACATAGACCCTGCCATCTTGAGGAGGATGCCCACTAAGATCCACATCAAGCTGCCTGTATGTCTTTTTCTAAAAAAAATAAATAAAAAAAAAACAAGAAAAAACATGCAAACTGAACACAGCAGTATATATGGATATATGGATTGGTCGCTTTAACTGCTGTGGCAACATCATCACACAGACATTTCTATTTATGCCCGCTGTTAAGGCACAGAATGCTGCAGTATTTTCCTGAATGGCAGAGGTCACCACTCAGATAATATCACCAAATTAGAAGTGAGAAGGCAGAAAAGACATCAAACTTGAAGCAAAGCATTGCTGAGTTTTTTTTATTCCCAAGAAGCTTTGTATTTTGTCTAATGATATATCATTAAAATGACAGCAACAGTCTGACAGTGTGTTTTTTCCTACAGAACTTTGAGCAGCGCAAGCAGATACTCAGACTGATCCTGGAGAATGAGAGGGTAAGTTCACACCAGAAGGGAAGAAGTCATGTGATTCAGTTAATCTTATGATCTTACATTATTTTATCAACATGGTTCTTCTTCTCCTCTTTTAATACAGTTAGCAGAGGAAGTCAAAGTAAACAGTAAATCCACATTAATTAAAAATGAGTGAAGAAAAAGAAACAGCTTTGGTGAAGGTTAAAAATGATCTTCTTATGGCCTCTAACAGTGTACTCATCTTTGTGTTTGTCCTGCTAGACCTCAGTGCAGCATTTGATACTGTCAACCACAATATCCTATTACAGCGATTAGTGCATGCTGAAGGTATCACAAGTACTGCACATCATATCTGTCTAACAGACTCCATGTTTGTTCATGCAAATGGAGAGTCCTCTTCACACACTAAGGTTAATTTTGGATGTAGAGGCTAAGCCTACGCTTGAAGCCATGGGGGGTGACGCGATGTCACTGGTATGCATGAATTGATCAAACAGTCCAATAACTTTAATAATAGCTGTACTTATCTTTTCCTTTTGGTCTTTATTCCAGCACCATTTAGCATAACAGTGCAGCGGTCACAGACTGTTTGCCTTCTTCTGTTTACAACACACCTAATGCCAATTATGTGCATCTTCATACCACCTACCATACATAAAACTGAAAAAGGTAACCTTTAGCGGCAACATAAGGTATCAACCTAAAAATTGCTCCTACACCGCGGCCCCTAATTGCAGTGGCTATCAGACATGGCAATTCTAATCAGAAAAAAAAAATAATGAGCCACTAATAAAGTCTACTTTAGATATATACACACACAAATAATCACAAGTAAACTCATTAACTCTCTGTCTGCTCCAACAAAGTTGGTTCCATTATCCGATTGAATATGAGCAAATTGACCTCACCGACTCAGAAACCAGCGCAAAGCATTAATGCAGTCTGTGCTTAGAGAGTTAGCCACTTCCACGTGCACGGCTCGGCTGGCTAAACTGTTGAAAATGTCTCCATAATGTTTAGCTGTACCTTGTCCTCTTTTAACTTTGATAGATGCGAAATAATCAACTCCAACATTGGTGAATGGTGGGTTAATTATCTATCTTTCCTAGAGTAAATCTGCCATCCTTTGCTCCAAAGCTTTCCCGTGATATATTCTGCAAAAATGACATTCTGCAACAATCTTCCTTACAGTTGACTTTTGCGATCCAGTATTTTCTCCTTAGTGTAAATAAGGTCGTTATGACCACTATGACCAAGGTGCTAATGAATGTACTTTAGGATGAGACTTGCTACATGCTGATCTTTTGTAAGAACAAAGGGATGCTTCATTTCTTCCGGAGAGGAGCCCTTTGTCAGTCGTACCCCATCATCATCAAGATAAGGATCTAATCTGTAAATTGAGCTGTGCCTGCTCACAGAACCTTTCCCACTTGACAACGTAGCAATCTCCTCTCCAAATCATTTTTTGTTGATAATGGCAAGCTCAGCTTCCAGAAGATCGTTTGAGGATAGACCATACAGTTGCTTTTTCTTTACATTTTCTTTTGTAGTACCTTTTCAAATTTGATCATTTGAGTTAGGTTGCAGTCTTCCTTTCTTATCTCTTATTGAACAAAGGATTGTCTCTAGTATAAGGAACCAAGCAACAGCAACCTTGAGCCTTCTCCAGTCTGAGAAGTACACAATCAATTGACATGTAGCATCAAGCAAGTCTTTTACTTGAGTAACATTCACTGTGGCCTCACTTTTGACTTCAGGGTCCTCTCGTTCTAAGGAGAGGCCCCACACTTTGGGAAGGTCTGCTTTAGGGTACTGGTTCATCCCACCCAAATTTTCTTTTGCAAAGCTCCAGATGCATTATTTTGGCAGGCAACAGGACTGGTACAAGAAATCCCAATGGATCCTAAATAGAGTTTGATATTGACAACATTCCACGTCTAGTACAGGATTTTTGAGGAACATGCTGTTAAATATCCCAATTCTCTAATCTTTGGGCTGAGGGAAGAACAAACACTTGGTGTTTAATGCTCAATCAGCAATCTCTTTATTCCATACAATTCTCTTTATTCCATACAACACTTTGCACATTCCAAACGTCCAGACGGGAGATGTGTGTCTGACCGTTTCTCACATTTTTATAGCTTCGGCCCCCCTCCACACTGAACATTCACATTCTTTCTATCTCTCAGTGAGCCTAAGTTATGACCTTGGCTTCCTGTGCAGTATGTTTTGTTCTTTCTAATCAGACAAATAAAGCCACGATTCCCTGCAAACAGTATTTCTTATAAATCAGCAGTATAATGCATCATAAAACAGTGTAATATCCCATTCCTGTTTTCTTTCTCGGAATAAACAATCAATTAAATGAAACAATCAATCTGCTGGTCCCTCTCTAGTCTAAACAACAGTGTTTCAGTAACTTTCCACTAGAAGATGGGCCCCTGTTATCTATTTTCTCCCAGGCAAGCGTGAGTGAGAGTCTACAGCATTATACCCCCCAAAGACACGTAGTCTAATGCCTTTATTTTCAGGGCCCTGTCCACTTAATACTACACTATATGGTTATATGGCATTTTAGTTAATATAAAGCATAGAATTGAGGCACTTTAATCCTCTGGGGTCCAGGGTATAATTGGCCGTTTTTGACTACTTTTGATTTTACCTCTATATTTCACCTTTAAAATATGTTTTTCTTGCCTTGTTTGGTATCATTATTTTCAGCACAACCTCAAATATCTGAAATTTGAATTATTTTTTTCATTTTGGTATACTATATTAGCACAGTTGATCTAAATTCAGGCAAAAAATTCAAAATCCGAGTAGAAAAAAGTTATATTTTTTTTACTGTAAAACCCACAAACATGTTTAACGAATCATTTTCATAACTTGAAATGCAAATAGAAATTGTACATTTCTAAAAATTACGCACAAATTTTGCAAACAACAAAGTTATATGGTACTATTTATCTAAAAATGCAGCCAAGGCCTCAGGCGTTTTTTATATAACCATTTAAATCTATTTACAGAACAATCAGGTGTGCTGCATCAAATAAGAAGGCACACAAATTATTTTTGCCAGTCCAAAAATGTAGTTTGTGTTCAGTATAAGACAGAGGAGAACAGCACACGCCTAAACCCTGCAGGTCTGACAGCAGGAGGTGCATCAGTCCAGTTTTCCATGTGGAGACAGCGTTTACACTGGAATCTGCCTTTGACGGCTTTTTTAGAGCAAATATGAAATTCAGCAGTATAACTGACACACAATACAAGACAATAACTACACAACAAACTAACTACAGCCTCCAAACACGCTAAACGTCACTAATGTCTAATCTTTCCGTTGCGAGTGTCACTCCTAAAAACTTCCCCTTCTCCCTAAACAACCAAATGTCACATGTTGCCTCATCATTTTTTTGATTGGCTGACATGGTAAACTCTAACACCAATAGGGAAGGGGTGTTTTTTCTTTTTCTTTTTTCACTCGCAAGCAGAGAGTGTTTGCTAGCGATGTCTATAGAAAACGCCGTTTTTACAGTTCTTCCTGCTGTAAACACCACTGTTTTGTTCAGAAAAAACATTGCGTGTATTTTTTATCATAACTCTGGTTTTACGTGGCCCATCGACACAATTCAAAAACTGGTATATAGTCTGAAGTCTGCACTTTCGACCCAAGTTGACATGGACACTCTGACGCGCTGCATCTTTTAGCTGTGTCGTTTTAAATTGGTCATGTGATTTTGACGCGCTGGCGAGTCCGGCGACCCCAGAGGGTTAAATAATGTTATCTCAACAATGCATTTTAAAGTTTAATAAATCAGTTTCAACACACCACTGCAAGCCCAGAGATCCTTCGACAGGAACTTTATCCCTGTCAAGATTTAATTCCTTTAAGTCTTTAGCCCTTTGCTACTCTTGGATACTTTGGAACAGGGTGCGATTGTTACTGACCCACTTGATAAAGTGCTGAAAGATCTTTGACCAATCAATAGCATCTGAAGTTCAATTCAATTCAGTTTTATGTGTATAGCGCCAAATCACAACAACAGTCGCCTCAAGGGGCTTTATAATGTACAGTAGATCATACAATAATAGATACAGAGAAAAACCCAACAATCATATGACCCCCTATGAGCAAGCACTTTGCCGACAGTGGGAAGGAAAAACCTCCGGCAGAACCAGGCCTAAGGAGGGATGACCATCTGCTGCGACTGGTTGGGGTAAGAGAAGGAAAACAGGATAAAGACATGCTGTGGAAGAGAGACAGAGACAGGTACAATTCAATGCAGAGAGATCTATTAGCACATAGTGAGTGAGAAAGGTGACCGGAAAGGAAAGACTCAGTGCATCATTGGAATCCCCCGGCAGCCTACATCTATTGCATTGCACAGCTACAAGCATTTCACCTCATGTCATACTGTGTATGGTTGTTTGTGTGACAAATAAAAATTTGAATTTGAACTAAAGGAAGATTCAGGGTCACCTGGTCCAGCCCTAATTATATGCTTTAGCAAAAAGGAAAGTTTTAAGCCTAATCTTAAAAGTAGAGATAGTGTCTGTCTCCTGAATCCAAACTGGAAGCTGGTTCCACAGAAGAGGGGCCTGAAAACTGAAGGCTCTCCCTCCCATTCTTTGAAATACTCTAGGAACAACAAGTAGGCCTGCAGGGCTTAGGGGGATATGGTACTATAAGGTCATTAAGATAAGATGGGGCCTGATTATTTAAAACCTTGTATGTGAAGAGCAGGATTTTGAATTCAATTCTGGATTTAACAGGAAGCCAATGAAGAGAAGCCAATACAGGAGAAATATGCTCTCTCTCTCTTTCTAGTTCCTGTCAGGACTCTTGCTGCAGCATTTTGGATTAACTGAAGAATTTTCAGGGAGTTTTTAGGACATCCTTATAATAATGAATTACAGTAGTCCAGCCTGGAAGTAATAAATGCATGAACTAGTTTTTCAGCGTCACTGTGTGGAAGTGGAAGCCACACTCTTCAAACAGTCGTCCACAACAGTCGTTCTCCTTTACCGTTTCACATACCAATGGCATCAAAAGAAACTATTTCCAGCTGTGCAATTCGAGTTCTAAGCATCCCAAAAACTATTCAGAAAAGCATAAAGTCAAACATGAATTATAAAAACACCAGTATAGGCTTTTAAGGCCTACAAGTAAAAAACTACATTTTCCGCAAAAATTACGTCACTTCCGGTTCCGTGCAGGAAATGGTGGACATGCGATTGTTGGCGCTGACGTCTGTTTCAATGTGGGAAGTGTTATGAACAGCTGATCGGATCGGCAAAGTGTGTTTCTGGAATATTATGTTTTTGTTCCTGCAAGCAAGCGCTTTTTTGCAAAGCTATATGTGGAAGGAAACCGGGACCTAGGACAAGCTGATGGTATAAGATGTAAGTACAACTCCTCCGGTTTCATATGCAAAAAAAATTTGCGCTAGCTTACGTGGTTGCAGTGCTGCCGAGATTTTAAAAAAGTTACGCAAAACAGAGCGTGCCCGCTCTGACTGGCTTTAAAGGGTTAATGACATAAAGACCTGGATGACCTTTTACTTTTTTGGCTGAGCCTTCAGTTTTCAGGCCCTTCTTCTGTGGAACCAGCTTCCAATTTGGATTCAGGAGACGGACACTATCTCTACTTTAAATATTATACTTTCCTTTTTGCTAAAGCATATAGTTAGGGCTGGATCAGGTGACCCTGAATCCTCCCTTAGTTAGGCTGCTGGGGGATTCCCATGGTACACTGAGTATTTCTTCTCCAGTCACCTTTCTCACTCACTATGTGTTATTAGACCTCTCTGGGCTGAATAATACTTGTTAATAATCCCTGGCTCTCTTCCACAGCATGTGTTTTGTCTTGTCCACCTCCTCAAAAAAGACAATTTGAGAAAGGCATTGAGGGGGAAAATGAGAAGGAGTCAGGAAATAGAAAACAAGGTATTATAGGGATAAAACGGAAAAAAAGAAAGGGGAAATTGAAGAAAACAAGAAAGCATTAAGGAAGCAACAATGGAAATATAAGGAAGGAATACAGAAAAAAGAATAGAAGAAGTAATAGCGAAAGCGAGAACAGATGGAAGTCAAAAAAGGTAAAGTGTACTAAAAAAGGGTAGGAGAGGGTTAGGAAAATGGAAAGAATCCTGGAAAAAGAAGCTAGGAAAAGGAGAGCAATAAAATGAAGGGGGACATCTATGAAAAAAGAGAGGAACAAGGAAAAAAAATAGTAATTAAGAAAAAGGAAATGTTGGTGCAAGTTCAGTGGAGGAGGGAAATTAAACCAAACCAGTTCTTACAATTCTTCTGCTACACTTATGCACAACTATTTGAAATTCACAACAGGATGTGGCATGATAAAATTCACTTAGTCACACTCTCCTGACAATTAATTCCAGCTCACACTAATTGATCAGATTTTAGGCCACTAATTGATTCTGACGTTGTAGGTGGATCCACTGATTGACCTCAGCCACATCGCCAGGGAAACTGAGGGTTTCTCAGGAAGTGACCTCAAAGAGATTTGTCGTAAGGCAGTGCTGCTTTGTGTCCGAGACATCATCCCTTCTGACATGTAGGTCTCTGGTGTTTCCAGGTCAGAGTGGGTACAGTGACAGGACATTTTATGTTTTAAAATTTACATTTGTTTTTAATAATTGATCATAACTAAACATTCAGAACTGATATTTATCAACTTTTTCACATTCATTAGGACAAATCACACACACCTGCCAGTCAGTTGAAATGTTTTTTCCTTTTTTTTTTTTGTGAATCTGACACTCCTGTCACTCTCTCAGTGTGCAGGCATCTTTTTTATAATTCAACTGAGTGATGCAGATTTAGCCTTAGAGTTAAATTGTTCACTTGCTGTTTGCTAAATGTCTGATGTCCTTCTCTTAGCCTTTCAGATGACTGCATCCGTCCAATTAATCAGGATGACCTCCAGAAGGCCACAATGAAGATGAAGGAGTCCAAGAGTCTGGATGGCCACGGCACATTGTTGGATATAATAATGTTTTACCTGCATAATATTTCAAAGCATATTCATCATTTATATCAAATTTTGTTGCCTTGTGCTAATCTTTGCTGAATGTTTGATTTCTCTCTGTTATTTAGATGACCGTCAGATTAATCAGGATGACCTCCAGTCCAACACTGCGGGAAGATGTGGAATGCTGCTGTTTTATATTATCATATTTGAAATCATTGTCATTATTTATTTAATTTTGAAGTAAACTGAAAAAGATACCTGTTGAACTAACTTGAAAAAAAATATGTACATCAATTCCACACAATAAGTCTTTTTTAAATTTGATTTGTAACCACACTGTAACTCCCTCGAGTTGAAAAACAGACACAAGGAGTGATTTCTTCTAGCATTTGTTGGACACAGATGCCACCAACAATGACATGAGAACTGTACAAAACAACATAAAATATTAAATTTTCACAATAAGGTGTTCTCATAGAGAATAAACAATGAAGCATATTACTCAACAAGATAAACACAATGTTTACCTTTACAATTTGACAAAAATGTTGACACATTCTATATTACTCGTGACTAACATAAACTTGACAGTTCTTTCACAAATACACATCTTATTTCCTGACAACGCATAAATACAAATTGCTTACTTCATTGTCGCATTAACTTGAAAGGGTTAACCCTTTAAAGCCGGTCGGAGTGGGCACGCTCCGTTTTGCGCACCTATTTTTAAATCCCTGTAGAACTGGAACCATGTAAGCTAGCGCAATATTTTTTTTTGCATATGAAACCGGAGTAGTTGTACTTACATCTTATGCCATCAACTTGTCCTAGGTCACGGTTTCCTTCCACATATAGCTTTATATATAGCATATGACATGAAATTTGAAACCACAGGTAAATCACTAGGCACAGTCAGTTGAAATCTATAAAACAAAAAATAAGACACGTGTAAACATGCTTTTTTCGTGGTACATATCTGGATTATTATCAGTACACTGCATGCTGAATCAGTTTGAATTTCCACAAAAAAAAATAGTCTTACATATAACAACACCCAACCTGACAGACTGTTACCAAACTACACCCTCCACTTTATTTAGTTCATTGTCAAAATTGCTTCTTCTTCTGCAACAAGTCAGACAGCTTCTTACTCAAATTGTGCACTTCACTAATTCATGGTCTCTCCTTACTGATTTCTTATCTCCAGAGTTAAATAAAAATAATGTTTAACAGGTAAATGGTGTAGTTCTATATTCTGCTTATGTACACAAACACAGTTATACAACATCCAGACTTTTATCATGAGCTATGGTCGGTTATAGGGGATGATGACAGATAAAACAAGCACACACAGACAGTCATCATGGCTGCGTGCTTTCTCAGAGCGAGTTCCACCTACAGGGAAATGTGACACTGGCGTATGCATGTGAGTCACATGCCAGACATTAGAGGCATTGGATTTGCCGTTCACAGCTTCTTTAGTTTGGCATTAGTGAAATAAATAGCATATTTTCTTCATGGAAGTAAAAGGGGGTGTTTGTCTTAAAATAAACCTTTGCTATTGATTTCGAGTCCCAGAACTGAGTTCAGCTAGGCCCCACAGGAAAGTAATTATACTCCACCCTCATAATTCAGTTGTTTGTGCAGGACGGAGGCAGTTTAAGAGGCAAGCTGACAGCAAACGAATCAAATACAAACATGCACTATGCTGCTGTTGTAGCTGTCATGCGTGACAATGTGGTTTTAATACCACACAGATGAATCATATAAAAAGACTTAGTGTCCATGGGTTGAGACTAACACTATATAATAGTAAAACTGTGTTACTTTAACCCTGTTTTATGTGTGAGTTAAAGAAAAACTATTATAAAATAATTATAATAGTTTTAGTAAAATAGTAAATAATAGTAAAAATTATTTAACTTATTTAACTAATCTATTATTAAAAAAGTTCATTTAACTGTAAAAAGTCTGTTGTAATAGTAATAGTAATAATAATAATAATACATTTTATTTGAAAGCGCCTTTCAAAACACTCAAGGTCACTGTACAGAGTAGAATAAAAACAACATAAAAGCAAGCAGTTTACAGAATCATAAAAACCATAAAAGCGTAAGACATAAACAAATAAAACAGTAGAGTGGAGAGGTTATGTAGGATAAGCTATTTTGTACAAGTGGGTTTTGAGTTTGGACTTAAAGAGTGAGAAGGAAGAGATATTTCTTAAATCAGGAGGTAGGGAATTAGGGAATTCCAGAGTCGTGGAGCAGAGCAGCTGAAAGCCCTGCAAGACGTGGTTGCAAGACGGGGGGAAGGGACGGAGAGTGAAAGGGAAGAAGAAGATCTGAGACAACGAGATGGGGCGGTGATCTTAACCAGATCAGAGCGATATGGAGGAGAGAAATGATGAATAGCCTTAAATGTGTAAAACAGTATTTTGAAATTGATGCAATATTTGACCGGGAGACAATGAAGCTGCTGCAAGGCAGGAGTGATGTGGTGGACAGATGACTGATTCATGATTTATGCACAGTCTTGTTAAAGAGGAAGTCTGCTTCTGTGTTCTGTGTACAAAGCAGCGCTCTGCTGTTTCTGTGTGTCGGGGAGGTGTTGAAACCACACTGCAAAACAGCTTCAAGTACAGACACAACCTCTGTCACAGTCCTCCATTGTGTCATCTGTTCCCTGACAAAGAACGGCCCTGAAAAGAACTTAGAGTGAAACACAGCTTTAATTCTTAGTCACACAGTTTAAAAA